ATATGAGAACCAGGCTTAACCAGCGACGGGCAGAAGAAAGGGAAGGCTTTCTTTCCTCCTCTCTCGATCTCACCCATAGCAGCCTTATGCGATAAAAACGTCCACAGAAAGCGCTCGGGAAGTTGTAAGAATCACCACAGGAGGAAACGTGGAAACTTTTCCTTTTAGCAGTCCCGCCCCAGTGGAGGGGCAGGGAATACACTGTACTGGGGTAAACGCCCAATGCCGCAAAGATCTGTTACAAAAAGCATTAATATCTGAGTCATGGCGAGTGTACTTCGTACCTCCACCCTCTTTCTTGGGGCCTGAGGAACAAGGATTTGGTAAATCGGTGAAATTAGCGGAGGGACCCTCCTTCCAAATGACAATCATAAACATACAATCATACCAAAAGCTAACCTGTGATCTGATCTGGCTTTTTGTTTTCTCGGCAAAAAAAAAAGACCTTCGCCGAAGCAGGAAATCTGTTGAAATTTATGACCGCGTGAAGGCATGGGCCCTAATGTCAAACGAACAGAGTCGAGAGCTGGGCAAGAGATCCCAAGAGTCTGTGCAAGCCTTAACCTTATCGATTCCAACATGGCGCCGGTTGCCGAACAGAAGAAAGAGAAAGAAACAGCGACAGACAAGAAAGAAGAGGCAAAATCTAAAGATGAGACCAAGAAGGAAGAAGAAAAAGAGCTGGTAACTGCCTACTTTTCGTCATGTGCCATCGTTTTTGTCGTTATTTCAGGGAGAGCGAAGGAATCCAGATGATACCGTGACTCATCAAGTTCCTTGCATGGTGTCAGCGACAACTTTTTAAGAATGGTTCTTTTGTGAATTTTACAGAGCGAGGAAGATAGACAATTGCAAGAGGAGTTGACAATGCTCGTGGAAAGATTGTCGGTGAGTCGATATTTAATACGAAATTGCTAAATGTTAAGAACTTGTGATGATGACGTTTTACTGATCACTCTGACTCGCTAAAGTAACGTATGTCGTCGCGAAAGAAAGAATTTGAAAACCAAGCTTAAGGCATACTGCCGTTTGAAATGCAGTGACATAATTTTGAGAACTTGCATTGAATTGAAAGCTGAAAAACCCCAAATATGGGGAGTTTCAATGACTACACAGTGCACACAGTGTAATGTGAATAAAATAAATGCAAGTCTTATTGACAAGTCAAGTCAAGTTTCATGTCAAGTTTATTGTGTATATACACTGAATTTTTGTCAGAAAACTCACCAGCTAGTTTTCAGGTATAACACTTTTGTTAATTCTTTTTCCTTGTATATTGAGAGTTGTTTCAATTCTTCATGTCGTTGAGGAATTGTTAGTTTTAAGCTCTATTAAACAGGGCTGTCATTAAGTTATGATTCACCTGAAGCCTTGATCTTCACACCCGTAACAAACTTGTTGCTTTGTGGGTTTATTCACTCATCCTCATCGGGCCCATGAGGACTCTTGAGGCCGGTTGCATTATGGGTGAATTGTAGCGACTACAGGCAAGTTCCCCTGTAGCATCAAGGACCCATCAAGCATGCTTGGCGGTAAACAGGTGCTACAGATTATGACCCTTATTGACAGCGCTGCCTAGGCTGTTAGCCCTCAACCAGAAGTCAATTATCCCCCAACCCTAAGTCCCAACAGGCTAGAGACTAATCAACTTGAAGGCTAGACAACCTACATTCTTGAGGTAAACGTTAAGTCAGCTTCAATCAGTGAAAACTCCATTTTTTTTTTCAACTGATTGCATTTGTGATTAAAATTTTACCAAGGATAACACCTTACACCTAATTTTGATGGGTTCAGTTTTTGCTATTCTTCATAGAGAAAAACAATTGTTAACTATCCTGATAGTGATTCCAGAAGACATTTTACCCTGACAGGCTTACACTTGTAGATTTATCTCTGTAAATGGCATTGAATCAAATGTTCCCCCACTCTCGTACAACAAGTTGGCCGGATTCAGAGAAAACTGCGATAGCCCTACAGATTTCTGTGAGTCACACCTGCTTTAAATGAACAAGAAAATTATCTGTAAAAATTTGACCCTTGCCGACAATATCTGCAGTGCTGTCATTATCATCTTGTTTTAAAACCTCTTATGAAACATATACATACACAAAAGGTGTGTTTGTAAAGCTTGCAGGGAATAGTGTGCTTGAAAAATTTATCCAATGAATCTATTGTGTAAACCAGCCTTCAAGAAACCTACAAATGAATCTTATATGTATGTTATTAATTAATTCATGCATTTTTTTGATATATTAGGAGTCTAATGTTTCATTACACAAGCCAGCACTGGAGGCTTTAAGGTCACAAATCAGAGCCAGTACTAGCTCAATGACATCGGTTCCAAAACCTTTGAAATACCTTAGACCACACTTCTCTACTCTGAAAGATATTT